TGTCACAAGAAATTATATATTTCGTCCAAATTATATGAAACAGAAACACTGAAATTTCAAATAGTTTCAGCATTGGCACAATGATTGTGCAATGTCACATATTTTGTGATTTCGGATTGGAATTTACTGTGTACCCTAAAATGGTAAATCAAAATACACTTGAAAAGGAGACAAGATAAAAAGCAATGAAAATATGTTTTATACATGACTACAAAAACCTACACCTCGTATCCAGAAATTGTAGCTGAAATACAGCATCTGAAGTATAACTAAACAAGCATATTCCTAAATGTATCAGTAATAACTAAAGAGATCGCTTACTTTTTGAAGATATCTTTAATTCATTTGATTCGCGCAACAATTCAAGATATTTTCAATTCTGATTTAGCGAATAATTTCAATTGTTGATATCATCAGTCATTTCATTTGCTAACTTGCAATAATTGAATCGTTGCTCTTTTGAAAGGAATTAATTTTATCAACAATTGAATAGTGATGTTTCAGTTGAATAGTGATGATTCAGTTGAAGAGCGAAACAATTCAATTAATTCGAGCAATACCGGTAATATTGAATTGTTGCTCTCTTCAACGAATTATTGCACGCATGAATTCAATTACAACGCTGTAATGCGTGCATTAATTGAATTATTCCTCTCTTCAATTAAATAAATGATATCATTAATTCAATTAATGCGTGCAGCAATTCTTTTAGGGGAAGCAACTATTTATATGTGATATAGATCTTCAATTCAGCATACCAATAATTCAAATAATGATCTCTTTAGTTGAATTGTTACTCTAAAAGAATTTATGCGCACACTAATTCCTCTACTAGATAATCAGATGATCCTTTGTAAAAAGGAAATAAACCTTTCCAGGACATGTTTATTCCCATCTAGCCAAAATTGTATTTTCCTTCTGATTAGCCTTCTGAAGAATGCAGATCATGAACAACATTCTGGAGAGTTAGTGCAGGCACCCGACGAATGGATGGTGTAACCCCCCCCCCCCTTCCCTCCTCAAGGCTTCTGAGAATATTCATAAGACACAAAAACTTATTAAAAATACATGGATTCCTAGTCTATCATTCCTATATTTCGATATCTGATATCATTTTTCTTTTTTGTTCAGTTTTAGAGATTAGCTCTTTACGGTATATAAAAATACTAACGGTAAGAAACAAAATCTTGTTAACGCACAGGGTGCCCCGCTTAGAGGGAAATTTTCCTTAATTAAAACAGAAAAAGCAAGGTTTAATTGACTGAGGATTTATGCTGCGTCATACGAAAACCGGTAGGTACCGGGTAGAAAAAAAAATTAACTGGCGGCCGCCACATAAATAACCAGCGGCCGCCAGAAAATTATCTGGCGACTGCCATATAATTTTCTGTCGGCCGCCAAATAAATAGATCTGACAGCCGCCAGAAAATTATCTGGCGGCCGCCAGTTATTTATGTGGCGGCCGCAAGAAACACATCTGGCGGCCGCCAGATAAAATATTTTTTCTACGTTGCACATAGTCGCCCGCATGGCGCAGTGGATAGAGCGTCTGCTTTAGAGTCGCGAAGTTAGGATATGATCCTTCCGTCGTGGGTTCGAATCCCACTGTGAGACACGGAGAACGGTCCTTCAGATGAGACCGTATAAACCGAGGTCCCGTGTCGCAGTAGGTGCTGGCACCAAAAAGATCCCTCACTACTTAATGGCCCTAAGTGTCCAGTATAGGTCAAAATATGCAGCTCTCCACCGGCAAAGGGTGGCGTCTCCATATGAGTGAAAAATTCTCGAGAGGGACGTTAAACAACAAACAAAACCTTGCACCTACATACTTCCGTAGTGTCACTAATACTTCAGTCTGAATTATATCCCATCAATAAGTGCAAAAAATAAAAGATACTCATCATCTTGTCTTCGATTCCAAGAGGTCACAGCAAGAAGTCAAATTATGATTAATTACAAATTTCAAATACACAGGGACTTTCATATATTGCTCAAATAGTGTGTAAATTTTTCATGTTATAAACTAAGACAATCCAACATATACAGATTTTTGGTCGCATTTTCTGTGGAATTCTTTGCATTTCGATCTGAATCAACATGATCATTTTACATCCAAAAACAAATCTTTACATGTACTATAATGTCCATAAGGCACCTAAGCTCCTGACAAAAAGACATGACTATCTTCATACAGAGATTTTGAATATGCAGCTGAACCTAATTATGTTTTGAAAACTACTCACTGTGGATCGTCAACTGACCTGTTGCAGTTAGGTAGATATATACCCCTGAGGGTATAATTATCACATCTGAGCCTGTACAAAATGGCACCAGTCAGAATAAATCATGCATCATTATTTTGATTAGATAACGAGAAACTCGCAAAGATTTGTAATGAAATAGATAGAGACACAAAGAGTATAATTTCTCGTGTAAAACATGTACTAAGTATGTTAAACTTTCCCCTCACCATTCGATTTGGTCCCTCGCTTCGCGCGGCACCAAATCTCATGGTGCTCGGGAAAAGTTTACCAACATATACTTTAAGAATATTAAGTGGAGGATGTTAGAGAGCAATGAAGACTTTGGCCAGTATGTCCCGTGTTTCACAGATATGTTACAAAGACTTAGGTGGAAAGCACATTTATGCATAAGTCATCTTACTCCATTATTAAAGATAGTAATATGTTACTGTGTTCATTGTTGTCTCTTTGTGCGATATGAAAAAAGATATATAACAAATATATTCAGTTTTTAGTCTCATTTTCATCCAAATACAAGAATCAGGAACAGAAGTGTATATTCAAGATTTCAAAAGAATTGATTACAATACTTACAAGTATGTATGTGATTACTAGTAAACAGAGTTGACATTGAGTTAAAGTAAATCACTGCTTAAATTAACATTTTAAAAATAAATTTTTTATGCAATTAATTAAAACAAGAGGTCCATGGGCCACATCGCTCACAGGAGCACTTTTGTAGGAAAAAGCAGAAAAAAGTTCAGTATTGAAAAGTTTAAATATAAATATGGTCCTGGGGAAGGGGGTGGTGAGGGGTTGAAAAACTTAGATCTACATTACCTGAGGATGCTTTCATATTTCTTTGACTAATCATAGCTTAAGTAGATTTTTCAAGAATTTTTCCTATACGTTTGATTTTCTATTGTGGCACTGTCCTATCCCCAGGGGCATGATTTGAACAAACTGGATTCTTCACTACCTGGGGATGCTTCCATATAAATATGACCAATCATGGTTTTGCCAATGTAAAACTTTGATCGAGCATTGTAGCCCCACCTATCTCCAGGGGTCAAGATTTGCACAAACTTGAATCTACACTACCCGAGGATTATTCCAAATAAGTGGTTCTTGACAAGAAGATTTTTAAAAGATGTCATTAATTCTTCACTTATTTATAATTAATATATCTCCCCTTGGAAAAAAGAGTAGCCCTTCATTTGAATAAACTTGAATCACCTTTACCCAAGGATACATTGTGGCAAGTTTGGTTGAAATTGACCCAGTGGTTCTCGAGAAGAAGTCAAAAATGTGAGAAGTTTTTAGACAGACAAACGGATGGATGGAAGACTGATAAAAATTAATGTGATCAGAAAACTCACTAGAGCCTTCAGCTCAGGTGAGCTAAGAGACAAATTGTTATTTATAATTCATTGCATCATCAACTTTCATCACATTTTTAAAACAATCTAAAATGGACAATCTTTAATTATAATAACCTTTAATTAATTTCCTTTTTCTCCCCCTCCCCTTACATGTACACCATTCCTCATCTAATTAATAACCTATAATTCATTTCTTTTGATCTCCCCCCCCCCCCCCATTACATGTAAACCATTCGTACATGTACCTAATCAATAACTATAATTAATTTCTTTTGTAGAATTTGTCCTCTCCCTCCCACTACATGTACACCACTCTCATCTAGCCAAAATCAGGCCACTGGTGAAATTTTAAAATTTTGGCCACCTGGGAAGAATCTCCTGAAACTTAAAATTTATACAGACATAAAATTCTTTTTAGTATTTTGCAAAATAAATCTCATTCAGAGAATATGTTCCATAAGATTGCCAAAGATAATTGTTGAAAATTTCTTGTGTGCTTTGGACGTCCTTTTACCCCTCAGTTTCCTGGCAAAAGTACGTGTTTACTTTTGCTGTCTGAATGGAGCATATGCATATGACCCCCCCCCCCCTTTTTTAAAGATTGACTTAAAAATATTATTGATAATATTTTGGTATACCTCCACATTTAATATTATATGTACAAGCAAATCTTACCAGCAACATTCACATGTGTCTTGGTAAACTAAAGAATTAATAATCAGTGTGTAATAATGCATTTTATTCTGTAAATGTTATCAAGATCAAGTACCTGATATACATATGAGGTGACTTATAGGTCAAAAAATCTTTAAATTACAATCTTAAAATGTACAATAAATGAGAAATTCATGGACGGAATTCAATGTATCAGGCATTTGTCTACAAAATGTTTCTGCACCAAAATAAAATGCAAGGCACATAACTGTAATCTTACTGTAGAATCAATCTACAACCTCTACAGTAAAGACTTATCATTAAATATACGTATGTCTGGACGGCAAATAAAAAAGTAATATCATATGTTACACAGAGATTACTATTTCTAATGGACATTTACACTGAGATGTCAAATTAACCCCAAATTGCACAAAATACGTAGACCAAAACACTAAATGAAAGGTATAATGTAAAACAATACTTAGTATTCGGTGTTTGATTACCAGATACACGCTAAATAAAAATGACGAAACTTATGTACAATTCTCAGATCATCAGAAAGTAATACATTGTACATACATGTACTTATACAATGACTGGAAAGCAATTCATGTCAAAATTATTTGTCAATAACAAAACATAAAAATGATCCATACAGTGACTTAAAAACATGCATTTTTCAGTATTTATCATAGATATTTTAAAAATCCATTTTCTTTTACTTCCTGAATAAAAAAATAAAAAATTTCTTTAAAATATTTTTGCATGTTTATTTTGTTTGCATCCTCTAATAAACATTTTTTAAAGTTGAAAAAAAGAGATGTTTTTAACCATATTTTCATTATTTTGAAAGTTTGCGATTTTTTTTCCTGTTTTTATTACATCCAAAGGGTCTATTCATTTAGGAAATAATGACCTTCTCATTTGTTATTTGTGACCCTTAATGCAGATTTAATGGTCGCAAATTGAGTTTTACCAGCAACACATCAGGGGTAAAAAGGATGTTTTTCCCATTCTAATGCAATTCATGCATTTTGTTTGGTGTTGATGTATTATTTTGTTCAGTTTTTTTAAATGAGGTACATCACAAAACGTTGAGTTTTTGTATCGTTCTATGATGTCACAGTCAAAACCTTTCATTCTTGTTAATGCTCATTTAACTCCATCAAAAATCAGTGTATTGGCCAATCAAAATGCAGATTACAAAACAATTGCATTAGAATGTGTTGCTTAATTACCTTGCATGCAAAGTTTAAAATAACTCAAATGTTTCTCATCATCATTGAAGACTGAAACAATGGCTTTACTGTAAATAAATGCTTTAATATTGATACTGTTTACGGAACCCTATCTGATCAGTATGTCATCATAAAATAAGGAACAAAGAGCTATGATTCTGTATCCCTGTAAAACAGCGCTGATCCAGACAGTTTATCTGTACTGTTATAGTCCTGCCTTGCCTGACCCCGAGAAAGTCCCTCCCTAACCAAGCTGGCATTCTCTCGAGACAGGTTCATAGATTTCTTCAGCTGTTCATAACTCCAATTCATCTGCTGAATTTCATTGTGATGACGACGTTTTGTGTCCTCCATTTCCTTCAGCAGATGATCATTTGTATTCACTAACGATCTACAGAAAGTTTCACAGAATTAGTGGAGAGGCCGACCAATCAAGGTCATCCACAAAAACTACCAAAGCAAGCTCTCTAAATGACAGGTACTGTATTCTAAAATATGATCTGCCATTTGTAATAAATATCTAAAAATAAACGTGGAATATCTTTCTCTCTCTTTTTCTTACAAAACAATATATTCGATACCATGCAATGCCAATTCTTCAAGACAACCATCTTCGCTAGCCAAGGGTTTCTGATACGCTACTCTCCTCATAAACCCTTGGCGTTTATGAGAAGAGTAGCGTATCAGAAACCCTTGGCTAGGGAAGATGCAAGACAACTTGTACTTGGAATATTTCCTTTTCAAAATTTGCACAAGCACTACAATAATACAGTAAAACTGTACTGCATAGTAGTTCTTAGTTGAATACTACTCATGCACTTGTATGCTAATTGCATTAGGCATATAAATAATAATTTATTTCCACCATGACTTACTTGTGACTCTCCTGTAACATGCTGGCCAGTTCCTGGACCTGACCAAACTGTTTCAGTCGGATCTGTAACATCTCCACCTCAGACTTAAGTATCTCATTCTGTCTTTGTAAATCATCTGTAAAACGCAATTAATTCCAATTCAGTTCATTCTTAGTTCTTTAACAGTATTTCTCAGTTTAGTTACTATCATGTTCATGGATTAATATCTACATTCCATATGTATTTTCCTTGTAAAGTGTGTTGAAAGCTTCATCATTCAAATCACCATAACACAGACAGAGAGGTCATCCTAATTAAAAAGCTAACTTGCCTTATTCAATTTGTCAACCCAGCTGTCCATGTTGGGACATGCTGAATGTCCAAAATTTACAATTCAATGCAGAACTTAAGATTTTCCAAATGTTGTGCAAATACACTAATATGGGATTTTTTCTCATATATAGGGGCATAAGGGCAATTTCAATTTGATTTGTTGCCAACAATGAGATGATGTTAACTTCACCGTTTTGTTCATCAGATCCATGCATCAAATTAACCCTATGAAATTTACCTGACTTTTACAAATGATACATGTACATAACATGCTTTTTTATGAAATATGCAACTTAAGGACCCTCTATACACTGATGAAAAATGTTTTTTGGACTTTGAGAAAATTATATAGCATAAAGGAGGATATATTGAAATTAACTAACTCATTTTAATATTGGGAGTCTGCCTTTTTTATTATTATTTTTTTTTATTCAGGAAAAATCTTCAAAGACAATGAAGTAATAGAAAAGAAAAATTACCTTCGCTTATTCAAATGGATAAAATACATGCAAATAAAGTTTTCAAATCTTGGTCTAATGTTTAGAATACTTGGATTTATTTTAAATTATGTGATACAGTTCAGATTGCAATTTATTCTACTGATATGTCAAATGGTGAGTCAGCATAATTACACAAAAGTACCCTGAAAATAGGGTGCAGTGTAGAGAGGGTCCTTAATGTGAAGAGAGTTTGAATATCTACTGCTAAGTGAAATTCCAAAATAATAATAAAATTGTACATGAACTAAAACAGTACTATTATTATCTACATAAACTATATGTGTTGTAATGCCACGAATGCCCCCCGCAGGTAGCCATTTTTAAATCTTTCCCAAGTTCAAGTAGGATAACTGTCAAAATTCATCGAACCAGGACCAAATAAGAACTTGACCTCTATTTTCTGGTAAAATACCTGCATGCGCAATTTCAACCTTATACATACATCCCTACAAAAGTTCGAGAGCGGAAACTGAAAATTTCTTATTTTTTTCTAAGTTCAAGAGGGATAATTGTCAAAAATCATCGGTAAACCAAATTCGAACTTGACCTGCATATTCCTATGATGTATCCATATGTCAAATTTGCGTTGAATGTGTGCAACTGTTGCTGAGATGATACAATGATGATGGAATGACAGAATGATGGAAAAGGGTAACACTATATGCCCTGGCCATTTTATGGTGGGGGCATAAAGACTAACAGACCCATTTAAAAATAATAATTAATAAACAATTTTTATAAAAATAATTATGGTGTGTGGGGGTGTGGGTGGGGTTGGGGTTAAAGTTTGTGGGTAACCTAAATTCTGTTGGTTTGTGGGAACCTAAATTCGGTGGTAACTCATAAATAGAAGCAATATGCTGACAAACTTATTGTTCGCTCGATGTAAATTTAGGGGTAAAGGTGTCCCTTGAAATCCATGAGCATTGGTTCCCCACAAACAGTGATGATTCCACAGTAAAAAGAAATGTAAAATATACCAAGTTGTGCCGGATTGAGACTTGAGACTGTATTGTGCTTTGAATCCTCCACTTCTTTGAGTTGAAATGACAGCTTTCTATTTTCATTCATATACTTTTGTAACTTGTCTTTTAATTGTTCCTGTTCAACAAAAAAAAATCTAAACTTAGTGTTGATTTTCTATTTTTTCATTAAGAACTCAAAAAGATTTTTAACACATACACTTTTCAGAAAATGATGCTAATAATAACACTAGCAATTATTGCAAAATACATAAGAAATGCTTCAAAGCTTCACCAACAAAATTAAACACAGAACTTTTAATAGACTGACTATATAGCATTTAACCTTGACAATGACATACCACATCTTTATAAGCCTTTGTGAGTGAGTTTTTCAGTTGTGTCTCATTGACAGAGCTATCAGCTAAGTTTGCTTTGGCGGCTTCTTCGTACTTCCTTAGACGATAGTTCTCATCTTGGAGAGTTTTTAGATGACCCTCTAGATGATGTCGTTTTTCTGTTTCATTGTCTGATTTCATGAAGTTTTCAATTACACCATAGGCAAGAGCTGTAATGAATTCAAATCAATAGAAATAAAACAACAGTACATGTACTGTATTGATATCATTTATTCCTATTTTTTGCAATTTAAATTCAAACACTGCATATCTTTTCTATTGTTCTATATTTGCTCTTTGGGGCTGCTTACTCTATTTGACCATCTTTTTGCTTTTTTTTTTTTAGAGAACAGTCTAATGCATATTCAGTAAAATGAAAAATTACCTTTGAACTTGGCATGCTTATGTAGGGACTTTGAACCATTCCAATATCTATCAACTAAATCAAGGATTTTGAAAAGGAAGGCCCTGTTTTCAGGTGTTTCAGGAGCCATGCCCCTTATACTTCCACTGGTAATTTTAGAATCATCTGGAGAGTTCGGATGGTCAGTTCCATTCACTCTGTGGATCCCAAAGTCATCCTTATAACAGAATATTATAACTAATTTACTACCAAGTAATTCTTTAAACAATTATTTTCAAATGAATTTGCATGTAGTACTCATAATCTTAAATGAGTAAAGGTTATATAAGCTAGATTTTCAATTACTTTTATCTCGCAATTTAATTTGAATTTTATCTCTTTTTCAAAAATATTTAAAGTAAACTAAGAATCTAAAATCCTTAGATTTTGATGATGACTTCCAGCTGTTCGAAGTGTATTGAAATGTGAGGTCAGAAATGTTACATATATATAATGTTACCTCTACTTTTTTTGAAGGAGCACTGTTTGATCGTTGATGCATGTCCTCATCCTCACCAAACGATCTCCTTCTCTGTGTCGGTACACGAGGGGGATCCTGGGTTATTTCCCTCTGATTCAAGTTGTGCTCGAATTCTAGAAAACCAAGACAAAATTAATGCAGCTAACTTTTCAAATCACTCACAATTTGACACTTTTATTCATTTTTACATAATATGCAAAATTTTACAAATGTTGTGATAAATAACCACTAAATAATATGAAAAGAAAATATTACAAATACTAAGAACAAACAATATCTTGATTTGACTATAATTTTATCTATGATACTGACCTGCATTAGGGTGGGGGGTAAAGTAGCCGTGACTCTTAAACTTATTGTAAGCCTCTGCCTCATCCTCATACTGAAGATTTGCATCATGTCTGAAAAAATAGCAGAAGGATAAAACGTACGCTCAACTAGGACCTTAGGTCACTGGCTCAGTTCACAACTATCAAACCTGTTTACTCCGCGACAAAATGTAGTGCATTGCAACCGTAAAGTGAAAATAGAATAAATCGCACTACTGTGAAGCCTTTACAGTGTAAAACAACAAACAGAAAATCTATTTTTGTCAAAGGAATAATCATCTGATATGAGAAAAGATACAGGGGGGAGCAACATTGACTGCAATATATTATGAAACATAAGTTATACAGCAATGGATTACGTAGGGTGACCTGTGGTCTCCCTAATGATATTATTATTCCATGTAAGGCAACAGTATCTATTTAACACAGTACCTAACCTCTGATCTCCTTATTAATATATCAGGGTAGGCAACCTCCTGTCTCTGCATTCGCAGATCTAACAGGCAGGGGGAGGAGGTACATTGTAGGTCTTGCCCCCCACCACGCTCGGACTCTTCACTGATCCTTAAAGATAATGGAATAATTATTTGGTAATAAATTATATTAGGTGTCCTTTGGTCTCCCTTTTGAGGTCATACCTCAATAGGCGACCTTATCAGTTTAACACTCTAGTAAACCTCTGGTTAATATTAAACTTACAGAGTAGATGTATGCCCAGTCTTGCAAGGATGGAGGCTGCAGTTCTCCTCCCCTTTCCTTGGAATTTACACTTATCAAATTCATAAACGAATCAAAACTACTAGTATATTTTCCAAAATAATAAACTTAAAAAACATGGACCCATTGTCAATTGCTTGTGGGATACATATACTGTATATGAAGGAAAAGTTGTCTAATGTCATCCCCCATCCAATTACATAAATTTAGAGAATTAATTTGGAGAAATTGTGAAATTGTTTGCTTGTAAAAAAAATCAGGGTCTCAATTTTTGTTTGGAGTGAATTTGAAAAATAATTCTTCACATGCCACATTTTTTAAATTGTCTTCTTATAACTTCAAGTGACCTCATGTTTTCCTAATAATGAACAATACAAGATTACCTCTGGTCTTCTGATTCATATACCACTTCGTCTGACCTCTGATATCCTTATTGATGTACAATATAAGACAAACTCATGTTTCCATATTTTTTATGTGGGGAGCAGAGGAATCATAAAGTTTATATGAATAGGCAGACCATAGGTCCCCTTATATTGTACATCATTAGGAGGACCAAAGATCACATTGTATTGTACATCAAAGAAAGACAAAAGGTCCCCTTATATCCTACATCTATAGGGAGACCAGAGGTCCCCTTATATCCTACATCTATAGGGAGACCAGAGGACACCTTATATTGTACATAATTAGGGGGACCAGAAGTCACCTTATATCCAACATTAATAGGGAGACCAGAGGTCCCCTCATATCCTACATCTTTAGGGAGACCAGAGGACACCTTGTATTGTACATCAATAGGGAAACCAGGGTTCATTTGTACATCAATAGGGAGACCAAAGGTCCCCTTATATCCTACATCTGTAGGGAGACAAGAGGACACTTTATATATTACATCAATAGGGAGACCAGAGGTCCCCTATATCCTACATCAACAGGGAGACCAGAGGTCCCCTTATATCCTACATCCATAGGGAGACCAGAGGACACCTTATATTGTACATCAAAAGGGAGACCAGAGATCTCTTATATTGTACATCAATAGGAAGACCAAAGATCCCCTTATATCCTACATCAGTAGGGAGACCAAAGGATACCTTATATTTACCATCAATAGGGAGACCAGAGGTCACCTTATATTGTACATTAATAGAGAGGCCAGAAGTCACATTATATTGTACATGAATACGGAGACCTGGGGTCCCCTTATTTTATTAATCATTGGAATGACCATATTTCATATAAAAGTGTTTATAAATACGGAGACCAGATCGCATCTTATGTTGTACATTATTCAAGAGGTCACATAAAGTTGTGTATGAATATGAAGACCAGAGGACACCCTATATTGTTCATCATTTGTAGACCACTGGTCACATAAGGCTGTGTATAACATGAATACGGAGACCAGAGGTCCCCATATGGTGTACTTCATTAGGGTGACCAGAGGTCCCCTTATATTGTACATCAATAGGGACCTTATATTGTACATCAATAGGGACAGTCACTTATTTTGTACATCAAAAGGGAGACTAGAGGTCACCTTATATTGTACATGAATATGGAGACCAGAGGACACCTTATATTGTACATAAATATGGAGACCAGAGGACACCTTATATTGTAAAGAATTAGGGAGACCAGAGGTAACTTATTTTGTACATCGATAGGGAGACCAGAGGACACCTTATATTGTACATAATTAGGGGGACCAGAGGTCACCTTATATTGTACATCAATAGGGAGACCAGAGGACACTGTATATTGTACATAATTAGGGAGACCAAAGGTAACTTATTTTGTACATCAATAGGGAGAGCAGAGATCACCTTATATTGTACATCAATAGGAACACCAAAGGTCCCTTTGTATCTTACATCAGTAGGGAGACCAGAGATCCCCTTATATCCTACATCTCTAGGGAGACCAGAGGATACCTTATATTGTACATCATTAGGGAGATCAGAGGTCCCCATATATCCTACATCAGTAGGGAGACCAGAAGACACCTTATATTGTACATCAATGGGGAAACCAGAGATCACTTATATTGTACATCAATAGGGAGACCAAAGGTCCCCTTATATCCTTCATCAGTAGGGAGACCAGAGGACACTTTATATTGTACATCAGTAGGGAAACCAGAGGACACCTTATATTTGACATCAATAGGGAGACCAGAGGTCACCTTACATTGTACATTAGTAGGGAGACCAAAGGTCCCCTTATATCATCATTAGTTGGGAGACCAGAGGACACCTTATATTGTACATCAATATGGAAACCAGAGGACATCTTCTATTTTACATCAACAGGGAAACCAGAGGTCACCTTATGTTGTATATCAGTAGGCTTATGTTGTACTTCATTGTGGAGACCAAAGGTTACCTCATGTTGATCATTAGAGAGACCAGAGGTCACATAGAGTTTATACAAATGCCAAGACCAGAGGTCCTCTTATATAAAACATAATTAGGGAGACAATGCAGAGGTCACGTAAAGTTGTATATGAATACGGAGACCAGAGGTCTCCATATATTGTACATTACAGTGTTCTAGGGAGACCAGATATCATAAGTTATATGGATGCAGAGATCAGGCTTCTATGATACTAGACTCTGTTTAACTAAAAGACAACTCAAAAACAAAATAAAGGCAATAATTATGGAAATAAGCTTCTGAACATTTAATTATGTGAAGAAAAAATTACTTCTTTCACTCCATAATTTCTCATATCTTACATAAACAAAGATTGCAACAGTTCTTTTATATCATAACACAAATAAAGATTATGAAATATGTGGAGATAACGAACAGTATTCGAGCTCAAAAGTTTATTAAACATTACAAAATAGGAGCGGAGCAAACACAGACCTCCTAAATATCAGAGGTGGGATCAGGTGCCATGGAGGAGTGAGCATCCCATGCCGACCGGTCACAACCGCCGTGTGCTCCTTATCATGTTCCGGAAAAAACGGAAAAATCCGTGGACAACTCAGTGTGTGAATAATGGACTAACAATCAGTTTGAAAAAAGTCAGTCAGCATTTGACTTAATTGCCAACAAGGTCATTGTATCGACCATAGAACTTACGAAATGATAACTTTAAACGAGACTACTGATATTCTTGCTTCATCAACTTCTTTGTCAATAACTCACCTCGTTTTAAAAATTGTTCATACGTAGAACATGCTCTTCCGTATTGCATCAACTGAGAGATATCATCATGGAGACCAGAGATCAACTTATAAAGTACATTAATAGGGAAACAAGTTGTTTAATATAAAGTAATCTCTGGTCTCCCTATTCATGTACAATATACAATATTAGGTGATCTCTGGTCTCCCTAATTATGTACAAAATAAGGTGTCCACTGGTCTCCCTATTGATGTACAATATAAGGTGGCCTCTGGTCTCCGTTTTGATGTGCAATAGAAGGTGACCTCTGGTCTCCCTACTGAGGTACAATATAAGGTGACCTCTAGTCTCCGTTTTGATTTCAAACATTAGTTTACCACTAGTCTCCACATTGGTGGTATCTGGTGACTGTTTTGCACACTCTTGTCTCCTTATTGATATACAATACCTGATGACCTCCATTCTCCGCATTGATATGACACATTATTTTATCATTCCATGTGCAAGATATTGCTCAAAGCAGGCTTGTGACAATAAATTTGATGTGACCAGGGATGATCCCTCCCATGCATCTGATCCTATCTCAGGAATTTAGGAATCCATGTTTTATACTCTGTTTTCAAATTCCTTTGTTAATAGGATTTTTGAGATCAATCTCTGTTTGGTATCTCAACCTTTTTATTTGAATTTGTAGTTGAAAATCAGTTAATTTGAAAACAAATTCAGGATATTAAAACTAAATTTGGACTTAATTTTATTCTCATTTAAAGTTCTCAAAGTCTGTGGATTTTCCTTTTTCTATAGGAACAGATGTAAGATAGGATAAATTATAGAGTGAAAGAAATATTTTCATTCTTTTTGCCTTTATTTTTTTTTTTTCGTTGCCTTTTAGTTAAGCTTGTCTTTTAGTTAAGCAGAGTTAAGTATCGTAGATGACTGATGATAATACTGAACCATTGACCTAAATTGAACACTTTAGGTCTATGACTGAACGAATGAAGAAAAAGTCTCAATTTCCCTGTGTGTAATTTTTAACACAGTAACAAAGACATTGGTTCTCAAACTGCTGATAATAATACATGTATTGTTTGATACAGTTAACCAGTGAAACATTTGTGAAAGGGGGGGCTGGGGGGGGGACGTCAGACACCGAGCCTTAATTATGACATCAACTTGTTGTCATGTTTAAATGTTTAAAACCATACCTTCACGTCTCTGTTAATCTATTAGAAAGATCTATATAAAGTTATTTATATAATTGTATTGGAGTAAGACAGAGAAAACTGTTTTTTTAAATAAAATTCAATCAAAATATAGGGTGACCCGAGGTCACCATATTGATATAGATGAATTTACTTTTGTGCCTTTAATGCCTGAAGAGTTCATATAATGTTTTATTACTAAGCAAAATGACGAACTATTTGTGGGTGACCCGAGGTCCTAGTTGAGCATATGTTTTATCCTCCTGCGAAAAAATATCAAGTTTCATTAAATTTCTTACTTACTTCACAGAGTAAAATTATTCTTAAATATGTAAATATTAATCTTAACCTTTCCTACTTATTCAAACCACTTCTTTGTGTTAAGTTTGTAACTAAACGTACAAATACCAGTGGTGAATCCATGATAATAGTCTATAGATGATATTCTTAGAGTTATATTTTGTCAAATCAATAAAATACATGTAGCTTGATGTATATAAATGTAAGCTTAATTGGTTGTTTCTAGAGCTTCCTAATAACAAAAATTAATTCCAATGCTTATCTTTTTTAAATATGAAATTTCATGTACATAATTGTTATAAATTAAGTATTTATCCAAGTCAGATACAATGATAAGACCTTACCGTGACTGAGGATCATCGTAAGACGTAACATTCACCACAGGAATGTTGGGATATTTCTCTGCATAACCTTTTAACCTTTCATCCATTATAACTGCAGGTGTTGGACTAGTGGGTCTCTATTACAACAAATTTCACTGTATAAATTTCAGTAAAAATTCAATCAGCAAGCTGTATTACAAGTATGTTCACTTTTTTCACTGAATCTAAAATTTAGTGCAAGTGAAGGCCAGGAATTAAAAAGTCATTTGAGGTCAGACACAATGATTCTCTCTATGGGTGTAATGATATACCAGTATAATGTGATATGTTTTGCTTGAAGTCATATATATAAATCCCAACAATATTATAATGATAACTTTTAAGAAAATATTTTTTATAACTTTTTATAGAACAAAAATGAAAAGTGATACGTATCAATACCTATCATGATATATTAGTAAAAATATTGATAAATTACGATACATTTTTTGCATATCAATACTATAGCTAGTCCCTAATTCTTACCTCCCTTGGGCTATCTGTTTGTTCTGTATCCAGGCTTTTCAACACTAATGGTAAAATGCATAAATCTTTTATGATTATACATTCAAATTCATATAAACCATAGTACTTGAAGGTCATGTAAAACATTATGTTTATACATACATTGTTCTTTTTGGTCTTGATTTAAGACTCTCGGTAAGATCAGGAACTATCACCTTCTATAATTGTGATAACCCTTTACCCTGTATTCTCACACATTTCAGTGATTACATATGTTTAGTTGATTACACAGGTACAGTAAATCATCCTTAAATGATTACACATGTACAGTATATCATCCTTAAATGATTACACAGGTACAGTATATCATCCTTAAATGATTACACATGTATAGTAAATCATCCTTAAATGATTACACAGGTACAGTAAATCATCCTTAAATGATTACACAGGTACAGTATATCATCCTTAAATGATTACACATGTATAGTAAATCATCCTTAAATGATTACACAGGTATAGTAAATCATCCTTAAATGATTACACATGTACAGTATATCATCCTTAAATGATTACACAGGTACAGTATATCATTAAATCAATAAACCTCTGCAGTAAGTTAAAATTACTTTGTTATATCACTTATTCTTTTTCCTGATATTAAAAATACTATTACAAGTAGGTAATCATTATAAGCTTGTTCCCTATATATATTGTACTGTACACTAAGCAGGTGAGATCAGTTGAGATATTTACCATCCAATGAGTACTCCTGTGCCTGGTCTTCCTTTGCAGATGACCCAGTTATTGGACGAGGTCGACTAAGGTCACCACCTGACCTTGCTATTAGGTCAAGGACAGCTACATCATCATCATCAAGGGCTAAGAATACAATGCATATATTATTATTTCAATTCAACTGTAAACAAATACTCAACACTTATTTTACAAGTAATCTGTCAAATCAAAAATACTTCCCTCAAAGCAAGTCGTACTACTGAAGTGTTTATAACTTAATCTTAAGTTTTTATAATTAAGCTTCCTCTGTCGTTTTGACCACTACTTACACAATACTCTGCAGATTCCCAACCTGATCTCTACTTCCCATGTCAAATCCATGACATCTCCAAACTACACCTTAAGTTTTAAAGGTGCATAGACACAGATTTGAAGTTTATATTTTCTCAAATTTTCAGTATAATATCACAACTTATATGTTGCTATAGCATTTCACACGAAAATAAAATAAAAAACTTATTTAATCTGGAAATTATTGAAACTAAGAATTTTGGGAGGCGTTTGATTAACACATCCTTGCACTTTCACAATTTTTAACTTTATCCTTAATACTTAAGAAAAGTAGCAATTTTGTTGTGTATTAATGAATAATATTACATCTATAATCCAGAAAATTCAGAGTAAACATGTGTGAAAGCAAAACCGACTCACTTAAGTATTGTCAGCCCGTGCTTAGTGTTTTGTAGTTGTGTACAGAGTTTAACAAATTGAATACACCTGTGAAACGTAAACTGTTTTTGTAAACAGGGCACGAGCTCTGTTGTTGTTAATGTTTACGTTTCACCTGGTGTGTTCAATTGTTAAACTCTGCACACACCACTGAGCACGGACTGACAATACTGGTGAGAGGAGTTTGCTTTCTACATTTCTACTCTGAAATTTCTGCATTATAGTTTTAATAATTTTCATTAATAAACAACACAATTGCTACTTTTTTAAAGTAATAAGGATAAAGTTAAAATTTGTGAAAGTGCAAGAATGTGTCTATCAAACGCATCCCGAAATTGGAAGTTTCAATAACTTCCAGATAAAATAAGATTTTTATCAAATTTTCGTATGAAATGCTATAGAAACATATAAGTCATGAAATTATACAGAAAATTTGAGTAAATATTAACTTAAAATCTGTGTCTAAGCACCTTTAATCTCACCACTGACATTAGCATTTGTTGACCTTTCATTACTTATTTAAATAATGACACTTACCGCTGACCCCCTTGCCAACCCCCCTGACCATCTCTGCCCGTGGGTTGGATGCTTTGTGTTCAGGCTCCTCTTGATGGGGGTGATGGGTCATCTCTGTGGCCTGGCTAGAACTGAAGTGGACCAGCGCTGCCTGTCTTTCTCTGTCCCTCACTCCTCTGTCATCTAAAGCACAATAGAAAATTTTCATACAAGAATTTATAAAAACTTAGCAGGTACTAAGATACATGTAACTGAATACATTTAGTTTTTGTCAGTAGCCATGGTATATCTTTTATATGATCAGCTTAAAAAATAAAAATACCGCTTTTTTTGCCAAAATTTTTTTTTAAAGATTTTTTTTAAAAATAATGTTTTGAAAAAAGATTCAAATGCATTTTCATATTTGTTTTTAAGCATATGACTGACATCATAATATTTTTTAACTTTTCTAAGTTGAAACTTGAATGTTGTTTAGTACATGTAATATGGTCCACTACATGTAAATATATTTCAATGTAAGTCAGAATTATCTGTTATCTATTCTACAATTACAGAAAAAAGTAATCACAGATTTAATCAAACAGAATTATTCTTTATAAAAAAATTCAAAATAACAGTATTTTTACTCTTGAAATTGATTAAAGATAATATAGGCAAACAATGCAAACAAAATGCCTATTGTGTGACAAATATTAAAGATAGTGAAAATTTTTTTCTCAATTATGGCAAAATTTTCTTTAATATTTAAGTTAACATTAATGTATACTTCATCTCCAAAATTTGCAAAGTCTCAAAAAGATTGAATTTATATGTCTATGAAACAGAATCCACATATAAAACGGGCAAAAATGACTGAAGCTGAAGATAACCAGAATTTTTAAAATCAATAATGATTTTGCCAAAGAATTCTCTACAGAAAAGTTTTGTTTGTCATAATTTCATACCTTTCAATGAAAAGAACTTTCTCTAAAAACTAAAATTCACAAATTGAATATAACTTTTATACATTTTAAGCTATAAATATTTTGCTCACTGTGTTCACCCTAGTTAGAATAATCTAACTGTGTCTTGGGACAGGCCCTCACCACAGTTAAACTGGGTCCGTTTGACATTTATCATTTTAACGATAGAACATTCTATCTATGTTCACCCGTATCCCTAATATAAAAATACATGTAGTCATATTTTTCCCTTTTGCTGAATACATCTCATTCCATTACAAAATGGAATTGGTTATAACTAGTCACAAAATATGTTTTACACTTCATGTCTGGTATCACAATGTACTTCTGAGATTTAAGGGGATGAAGGACACATGGTCACATGACTGTTTAACTACGTCATAGTCTCTGTTTATATAAGTGCAAAACGTGTAAACCATAAGTTCTTGTATAATTTTTGACAATTTGTTTTTACTTTAATTACCAACCTATATAGAAAAATAAAAAAAAAATTAACATTCTTGTAAACATTAACAAATTATGAAATTGTTTGATCCACTCCTCTGTTTCTCTAAACTGCACATCCAACATGTCGGTGACGTCATACACGATCTGTTAGTACAGCAAGATCATACTCGGTGAATACAGGGGCGGTATTATTATGTAAAAATAATCATAATCAGTATATGATGAAATATTTTGAGAAATGGGGAACACAAAAATTATTTTTGCATGGCTGATGACGGAAATCTTATGTAGGTATATCTAATTTTGCTTATTCAGCTTACGTGTGACGTCATAGTTGGTTTTTCCCGTACTCGAGAAATGTAAAAATGACACGTTTTTGTCATGCTTATGTCTTCTTTAACGATGTCCTGTGCAATATTGAGGTCAGCTTCACCATTTGAAATTTTTACAGTTAATCAATAATGTGAAGGACTTGCATTTCAACGTAAATTTAAAAATATTGAATGATAGAATATTTTGCAAATCTAGTTTTTTGTTGTTTAAGTTGTCTTAAAAAGTACGAATTTTCCCTATCTAGATGCAGTGTGACAGAAGAAATTTGCTTTTTCAAATTTTAAACCCTATCCATACTCTGAAATATTTTAAAAGATACATGTCCCCTTAAATATATTTTATCTATGCTTAAAAAATCCAATCATGGACAGAGTAATGGACCGGGAAACATGGAGAATTAAAACTCCACTTAGATACTCGAAGGCATAGTATTTGTCAATCAATATCTCTAAAATAAGGTAAGAAACCTAATGATTTAATTGCTTTAAGATGTGTGGGACATACTTAATTAGAAATATACAAAATATGAAAAAAAATGAATGACGGGATTTTTTTTAGCCCAAAGGTCCTTCACCTCCTTAAAATCTGCCATTTTACATATCATCCAATATCATTAAGTTTTCACACTAAAATATCTTACCCAGTTTTTGTAAGTTTGGTAGCATGTGAATCATGTAGAGTCTGTAATCAGGTTCTGTTCGGGTGATGGGGTTCAGTCGCAGATCTAGATCCTTTAGGCTAGTGTTAAATCGCAACCTCTTCAACTCATCCATTGTCTCTATATTGTTGTAGTATCTGAACACATATTAAGGATTTGTGTGATGGAAAAAATATGTACATGTAGGTGTTTGTACATTTAAAAAGATGAAAATTTTAATACATTGTATTCAAAGTAAACTGAAGAAATATTATTTTCTAAATACCTGGTACATAAACAACTCAAAACCAAAAGTATTTCAACAAAACACTGAATCACCCCAGACTTTGGACCCATAAATCTATTATTTATTCACAATTTGAGAAAATATATTGAAAAGGGACAGCAAATTAATTTTGTTTTAAAATTATAGAAAGTACCGTATATACTCGCCTTTAAGTCAGTTTTTTGGAGTTAAACTTTGGTCCAAAGCTCTTTATCTGACTTATACGTGAGTTATAAAATGATTGGTATTTTAGCGGGTCAATCCCTCTAACTGAAGCTTAAAAAATACAACCGACTTATAGGCAAGTATATACGGTATACATGGGACAAAGCAAACAAAAAGTTAAGTTTGAATAAATACTGCGAAAAAAAGATACAGATTGAGTTTCTCCAGCAACTTTAAATGTTCCAGACCCTGCAAATATAATATTCTGAGACATCAAAAAGACATTTTAAAGTTATATTGGTCAGTAACATTCCATATCATATTTCTTATATAAATAAGACACAAATTAAATTAAACTAGATGTAGAATATACGTAAAAGATTACATAGCTCACCTCAATGCATGTTATCTTTAAGTAAGGAAAAGTCCCAACTAAACAAATCTAGTAGTGTGCATCCCTAGATGCAACATTTACAAGTTTGCCCAGGTAGGGCTTGCATTTACATGTACTTGGGAATGAACCTCCTCAAAAAACTTTAAACTGGTCACTCATCCTAAAAATGTAGGTCAGATTCAGCATCTGAATCAATTTCATCAGTGTGCATCCCCAATTGCAACTTCTCGGGCCTTTCCGACAAGCAAAAAAACAACCTCGAATGTATTACGTACACACCATGACAACCCCCCTTTTCATAAACTTTGAAATAAATGTAGGGAGACTTCTTATCTGTAGAGTTTGGAGCTCAACTTTATTGAATGTAAAGATATTACCTAAAATGTACTACAAGAGTGACTTTTAACTCTGTCTTTCCACTTCTATAATAAATAGGAAGCAACTCCATCTTGTATATTTTTTTAATGTGTGATGTTAAAACATTCGAGGTTGTTTTCGGCCCCGGAGAGACCTTAAAAAAATCCCTGGCATCCCTAGATGAATCATCCATGCAAGTCTGCTCTAGGAGGGCTTAAAATTAAAATGGAATGAACTTTCTCCAAAAATTTAAACTAATCACTCATCCTAAAATTATAGGTGAATCCAACATTCAAAGCAAATCTAGTTGTATACATCCCTTGATCATGTTGATGCATCATGATGCATCATCCATGCAGATTTGTTCATGTAGGCCTTATAGTTTCTTGGTAATGGACCTGCTCCATAATTTTTTACCTGGTCTCTCATTCCATAAATTTAGGTTGACATCAACTTATTTGTCATTAGTCTGCCTCATTTAAAATTGATTGTGTTCAGAACATGTTCTTGCGTACCGAATTTGACAGTTGGAAACATTCATGAACACTATATATGCAGGTGATGTTGAAATATTACTAGGGATGTTGATGATGGAAAAGTTGAGAACACCTAAATGTATGTTATTTGGCGTGTACGGTATTGGTGGAAATTGATCTCTAAACAAGTTAGCAAAGATTTCATTAAGCACTTTTTGAGTGTCCTTTTTGTGAATAAGCAAACACAAGAGTTTTAGCAATAAACTTGATTATCCAGTATCTAAAGCAAGTCCTGTAGTGTGCATCAACAGATGTACCGGTATCATCTTTGCAAGATTAGTCAGCATACTGCCTGGCTTATATTTAATTAAGAATGAACCTGCACCAAAAACACTAACCTGGTCACTCATTCGGAAAATCTAGGTTAAATCAAGCATATGAAATAAGTCTGGTAGTGTGCATCCTTAGATATATTATCCATGCAAGTTTGGTCAACATAAGATTTACAATTACTTTAGAATGAACCTGCTACAAAAACTTGAACCTGGTCACTCATCCAGAAAATGTAGGTCATATCCAGCATCTGAAGTCTGGTAGTGTGAATCCTTTGATGTATCATCCTTACAAGTTTGGTCTATATAGGGCTTATAGTTACTTGAAAATGACACCTGCTTCAAACTTTAACCTGCTCTAAAAAACATTAACCTGGTCACTTTTTGGCTAAAAATGCAGCATCTGAAACCTGACTGATACAATGAAACATACTTAAAGCATCATCCATGCACCCCTTATCAATATATGCAGGTAAGTTAAGGCTAGGTATAGGCATTTCAATGCAATTAACTGATTAAAATGCCCAAGGACTATATCTATTATACAGAGAAATTTAAAACTTATTGTCTAATACATACTTGGTACCCACGACATGAGATAGCCAGTACACATTATGACGTCATATTATGACGTCATTGTTCTTTACTACACAAAATTATAATGGAAATCAACAAAAATGCTTCGGCGCAAGGGCATGCTCTATTTTATTGAACTGAAACAAGGTATATTAAGAAGCAAAAAATTCCAACATTTGCTGGTATTGCTGCACAAATTTCAACAGCTAAGTTGTATAATTTCTATTTGTAAAGTTTTAAGTTGAATCAGGGTAAAAATGTACAGTACGTATAAGTTTCCTCAAATTCCAATCAAATGCGAAAATACCTAAGATTTGTGCAGCAGTTTTATTAATCTATAGAAAATTCTTCTTAGCATTATACAATTTTTATGTTAAAATAAATCGGGTAATCCCTTGCGCCGAAGCTGTTTTGTTGATGTGTTTTATTACCTTCAGTAGGTAAGATCAGTGACGTCATAATATGACGTCATAATGTGTACTGGCTATAACATACCATGGGTACTAAGTATGCATAAGAAAATAAATCAAAACATTCTTTGAATAATAAATAATACCTCTTACCTGTTTTTATTAGCTCATTTGCATAGAAACGCCTATACCTAGCCTTAACTCACATGCGTATAGCATAAAATAAAAAGAATTCTGTTCACAGTTCCAAAAACTTTAACATGGGATACCACATCCTCACAATGTCAAGGTTTTGTGATTTCGGAACTCCAGAACTTTCGGAGTTCTGAAATCACAAAAACTTGACATTGTGAGGATGGGGATACCAATGTAAAGGGTATCATATGAGCCCCAACTTCATTGTGGTAAGCTAAAACAGAAATCATCTTCAGAATTTGAGATTTACCTGTAGGCTAGCTATGGAATTCCTTGAGAGATCTAGGGATTTTAATCTGGAAAACTTCCGAAGAGAATTTCCCAGACAAACAACCTTCTCATGATAGGTGCCTGGTAGTGACAAAGCTTTAACATCCTCTGAAATATTTTAAATGAATCAGATCTACTGATATGAAAAACAAAGAATCATATAAGGAACAGATTTTCTTGCCTTTTCTTACATGTTCAGACTGTATGCAGTATGTGTAATTAAACAAACAATATGCCTACAGTTTATCTAGTTGAGCCAATTTGATTTTTCCTTCACTATGTAACAGGAAAGGATAAAATGTATGGCTGGACCAGGGATCAAACCCAGGACCCCTGTATCACTAGTCAGATGCTCCACTAACTTTGCTACCCAGATATCCATGGCCCAAACCTTTTCAACTGTATGTAAATGACCTTTGGCTTTTCAAGGCAATTTAAATGAACTACATGCATAACACATTAGGCCTAAGAAAAAAATATGTTTGTTTACTATTACATATAAATAACAAGAGGCCCATGGGCCATAACGCTTACTTAATCACCTAGGCCCTGTTATCAGAAGTCAAAAAGAATACTGAGTATAAAAATAGTTCCCAGCAGAAGTAAATCCTATCTCAAATGGCCCTGTTTTAAACAAACTTAAATTTACACTATGTCAGGTAGCTGTCATATAATGTTAAAATTTTCTGGTCCTGTAGATCTTGAGAAGAAGATTTTGAAATATTTTTTCCCATATAATTCATGTAAAAATCTGATGCCCTATGTGGCCCATCCCACCCCCAGGGGCCATGATGTTGAAAAAATTTGAATCTACCCTATGTCAGGATGCTTTCATATAGATTTTATCATTTCTGGTCTAGTGGTTCATGAGAGGAGAATTTTTAAACATTTTTAATACATTTATACTTTCTATTTATCTACATGTGTATATGTAAAAATTTGATCCCTAATTAAGGCCCCAACCTACTTTGAGAGGCCATGATTTAAACAAACTAGACATTATGTCAGGCCGTCATATAAGTTTCTTTTCTGGTTCAGTTGTTCTTGAGAAGTTTTTTTTTAAATGAGTCACCAAATTTTCACTTTTTTCTTTAAAAATTTTCTCCCCTTGAAAAAGGGCATGGCCCCTCATTTGAACAACTTAAATCTCCTTCACCAAAGGATGCTTTGTAGCAAGTTAAGGTGAAATTGGTCCAGTGGTTCTGAAGAAGTCGAAAATGTGAAAGTTTTCAGATGATGGATTATAGACACTGAAACTGATGCCAGACACTCTTCAATCGGAAACACTCACTTGAATCTTCTGCTCTGGTGAGCTAAAAAATAAAGTTGGTAGGTATGATTTCTTTTCTTTTTTCTTTATTATTTTTTTTTTACATTTGAAAGTGAAGTAGAAATACAAATATTTGGACCAGTGTCACCAATGTCTGAAGTCTACTTTTTCTTGCGGCAAATTCTTTTTTGTTTTACCACCTATCACAAGTTGTAAAATGCTTTGATATTTCTTCTAAATGTTGCACTAAGAATCTTCAGTTGAACATTAGGCTACTTTTTATTTTAGAAAAAGTCACTGAAAAAAAATTGGGTTGGTGCAAAAATTCAGGGTCAGCCAGGTAACTTAAAGACGTACAACACACTGGGGGAGATAACTCTTGCGATTTCAATAAAACGTTTAACATAACGTTAAATTTGACGTTAATTACGAAGCGTCAAAATGACGAGCGATACGAACCCGATGTAATTAATGTAAAAAACAAAAAATAGAATAGAGGTTTTTTTATTGTGGTTTCTTTAGGAATACCAAATCCTATCCTTGATCATTTGCGCAATTGCAATAAATCTCCCCACTCCATAAAAAAAGAAAAAAAGGACAGGTTCCCTAAACTTCTTTAATTTAAATTTAGTTAATTAATTCTTTAATATTGTATTTATGATATACACTAAGGCATTTTTTAAATCTAAAAATGTTAATGGTACTCTACATTGCTTTTTCCCGTTGCAATCGGCCGCATAACATTGAGAATAAATATTACTGGTATGTTTAAATATTATCATATTACGAAAATAAACATTTTCTTTCTTTTCTTTTCTTTGAAAAAAAAATGAAAAAGAGTAACCGTTTTCAGAGGGTCACTGATCAAAGAGAAACAACTCTAAAAATGTGGAGGTGTATGTCTTTCCTCCCCTTAGCTGAGTTATTCCTCCTGTTTTCCGACGAATTATGAGTTTTTTCCCTCACAAATACACAGATACATTAAAGATTTTACAGTATGTTGCAATGAACACAAGAACTAAAAGCCAAAGTTTATACAAATTAAAGTAAGTATCAACAGTTTAAAATTATTTACTGAAATTAATACAACGGTTGCATCCCACTGAGAAAATCTTTTACTGTAAACAGAATCAGTTCGCATTTCCTCGAATAAAAACAAAACGATTGATACCAATGTAGATGATACCATTGTAGATGATTAACATGAATAATTTTAATACTGATAAATAATTTACAATTTGGTACGATTGAAGTTAACATGGACGAAAACATCATTTCCATTCATTGAAACAACAGAGGGATACAAAACCCCGGGGGGGGGGGGGGGGGGGGGGGGGGCAACCCCTCTCGTTTGAAAACAGAAATAATTTAAAACCTAAATGTACATATATTCCATTTTCATCACAAGAGAGTTGTACATACACCACTGTTGGTTCACTTAAAAAATAATATTCAATGCAAGTAGGTCATATAAAGGTTTGAAACTGCACCTGTGTGCATGAACTCCAAACCGGACACGTGGTCATAAAATCCTTAGAAAAATGGTTTTACTAAATATAAATACAAAAAAAAAAAATAGTATTTAGAATAACAAAAAATATTAGTAGTCAATATCTAATCTGTATACACGAATGAAGGACATTACTTTAGGAGTTCAATATGCCAATTATATTTATCATGCAGACGTAACCGATGCTTTTTTTTTTTTCAAGATCGAATGTACTGCATTGCAGAGAAGAATGGAGGGGAGGGGGGGGGGGTCTTAAATTTGCAGAAATTGCTTATTCATCTTCATTTAAATGCAGATGTAAAGTTTTATATTTGTGATAAATATAATGTGCATTACATTTTTTAAGTAAAATATACTTTCCAGCTAGGAATTTTTATTTGTATTTGTAGAATCATAGCATTGTTTTCGTCCCAAGTCTGAAAGACGCTGTGAGAAATGTAACTTACGGAGAGAGGGGAGGGTAGATTTTCCTCTATAAATTCAAAACGCGTCGTTTAAAAAATTTTCAAAAAATTATCAAGAACATTTTGATCATCAGTTACAAGAAGTAATAATTTTTTTCAAAATTAAACGACAGATTTTTTCATAAAAAAATATTTCATTTGAAAATCACGCATTTTTCAATGCAAAAATGAACCATAGTTTTTCAGTTTAAATTCTTCAAAATCGTTTTTCTCGAAGTGTACCTCTACAAATTCACTTTGTTTGTGTGTTTAATAGTTAAACGAACGATTCAGCAAATTTTGACAGCTAGGCTAACCTTAAATATTTTAAAATAAGGGATTTTATAGTTAGTTTGTTGAATTTTTTTTGTACTCGTGATCAGCCAAAGGGGGGTAACTTTAGGAACTTCCTGTCCAAATTCGGCTTGAACGATTTTGACCAAAATGTACATACACATAGTAGATATGGTCATGTATAAGATATACAGAAATAGAGAAAATTAAACAACAGGAAATTTTTGGGGTAGGTGTGTTGTACATCCTTAAACAAACATATTTTTTTCTTAGGCCTCAAATGAATGGGGAATACCTAATTGAAGATCTACGGGTATTTGAAGACCTTCAATGAATGAATGTCCATTTGAACCAGGCACAATATTTGCTAAACCCTTTTTAAGGATTGAAATACAGCTTGAATGTCAACTTTTATCAGTTTATTGGTAGTTTACTACCATTTAAAATGCTAATAATTCTCCTCTAATTTAACATTTTGAAGTTGAAAACAATCATCTGTTGTTTACAACTTCTGATAAGAATCAATGCTATCTTCAAACAGTAAGAATGTTGACCACCGCCGAACATGTTTCGACACGCCCACTTCCAAACTTAAATCAATGAATGACGATCAGAATATCCTTCAGTAATGATATGCATATGTTACAAAAGTCATTGTTTTTGCAAAACGAAAAAAAAATCATACTCTAATTTTTAAAGTGTTAAGAAGTAAAATCTTTTATGAAAGATGATGAGTGTTGACAGAGACCCGACATCGGACATAGTTCTGTAGCACATGCTTTTAAACCACTGCATAAACAGTTGGAAGTTTAGTAAATATAAAAAACCTAGCATCTTTGAATGTAAGGTACGTTTGCATCTCAAAACTGTATTAGTCTCACCTAAATTGTCGTGCTGTAGATTCACCCGGTTTCGAACGACTTCTTCTGACAATGTGAGCGCCATGTTTTCAAAACATTGAAAATTGTAGACGAGTTGAACATGGGTTACAAATCCGTAAAAAAGAATGTCAACATTTTCATCTAATTTAGATGAGTTTGATTGAAAACAAATTCTTTTTTATATAAATTGTTAAAGCATGAATAAAACAGATCACCAATTTATTCAGAATAAATATTAGTATTTTTGATCTTCATCGGGTTCGATATTCAATTAATTCAGCTCATCAAAACTTGCTCATGCCTGGTTACTCTTTCAGAATGGTAAACAAGTTATGACAGAAACACGGTACATGGGTTTAGAAAATCAGGAATACCCAGCAAAATGACGAGCTTAGACATTATTATGGTAATGACACTCAAACCTTAATGACAACATTTTGAAAATCCTACAACTAAAACTTTTTTTTCTTCAATGAATCTGGTGATACTTTATAGCAAACTCAGGCTAAAACTGTTATTTATCATCAGTTCAAAATGAAAGACAATGAAAAAATGCTACAGAATGATTTAAATTGTATGAAGTAAATGTTTTAGTTATGCAATAGTCTAAAGTGCAGCAAAATATAATATCACAATTTGTTTGGTCTCCTATTTAACCTGTATTTATGTCACGCCAAATTCACAAAAATGAGCTAATCACAGTTTCACAGTTGATAAACTAAGTTTATCGACTGTAAACTATAGTTTACGGACCGTAAACTACAGTTAACGATGATAATCTATATTTCACATCTGTAAACTATAGTTTACACGATAATCTTTGTTTCACAATCGTAAACTATAATTAACACGGAAAACAATCATTTGCTACTGCAAAATATAGTTTATCTGATAAATATAGTTTCACGATTTGTAAACTATGATTTACAACTCTAAACTATACTTAACAAATGTAAATTATAGTTGAGGGTTTGTAAAGTATACTTTACAGACATACAAAGCGCCAAATTCACAAAAATGCGATAAACATAGTTTTACATTTGAGAAACACAGTTTAAGAACAGAATCTCTTATTTTGTATCGCAGATGCACAATTTTCTGTGAAACTAGATTTCATGACTCTAAACTATAGTTTACGATCAAAACTATAGTTAACAATAGTTTTTTTTAGTAAATTATATATCGGCTAAGCCTAGTTACTGCATTATAAGATTTAGCTATGTAACGACAATTGTTGTTAAATTTATATGCATGTATATTTCTTGTTGGCATTAAAAGTAAATGTTCAATTATTTTAAAGCAAATCTAGTTGGAAATAAAAAGAAAAATGACAGGAAAATTATTGATTAAATTTTTTTTTTAATTCAAAAGAGAAAAAAAATAGAGGGAAATGCATGTTAACGGTCTGTAACCAAATTTGTCTTCAGCAACGGAAGAAATCGCTGATATCTATCCTTGCCGTCTTTCCAACCTTCTGTGCTGATCAAACAATAATTAATGAACAAGAAACATATTGACGCAAGCGTCAAAAATCGGCCACAAATCGGCCAATTGTTCCTTTTATGAGGCAACAAATTGAAATGCGTGAGCTGTTATTAATAAAATGCATGTATATCTTATATTAATCTGTAAATATAGACATACCCAGTGCATATGTAACATTGCAGGCGCGGAATTTATCTTTCAACAACCGAATTTTCTTCTAACATAAATAAAAGTGGCCTTTTACGGAACATTTACTTTAGTAAAACACAACAAATATTTGGGACTTCTCTCTCTCTCTCAAATTCAAAGGAGGACGTTGAAACCCACACAACCCCATCTAGATCCGCCACTACATTTCCTCTCCTTCAGTTCTTTGTTTTGGTTATAAGATGTGGCGGGAAAATGCTTGGCACATTGTAAAACGCGCTTCACCCTCCTGCTTGAGCAAAAATCTCGTAATATTCTGTCTTTTAAGAAATAAAAATTTTATCATAATTTTAAAAATTTCCGATAGGAAATGTATATATACACGACATTTTAAAACAAATACAATTAATCCTGTTTAAATATAGAAAGTAATATTGATTATATATAACTCAGTCTTTGCTTTAGATAATGCCCAACACGTGTCCTTAATATTCTCTGCACTGATCCCATTATTCCTTCTCGCGATTGGTGCCGCAAAATTTTGAATTAAAAACTATCGTTAACAGGTGTTTAGATTCATAAACTATATTTAACAACTCTTATCTATAGTTTACGAGTGTGAATTATAGTTTATGACGATAAACTATGATTAGCAAATGTGAATCATAGTTTAGCTCTCAAAACTATTGTTTACGATCGATAAGTATAGTTTACGTCTGTTAAATATAGTGTGTGAGTATAAATGACAGTTAACTATAGTTTACGACCGGAAACTAAAGTTAACGAATGTAAAACATATTTTATCTGATGAATATAGTTTCACGATTTGTAAAACTTTGATTAACAACTCTTAACTATGGTTAACGAATGTAAATTATAGTTTACATATGAGAATCTATATTTATCAGCAAAATCTATTGTTAACGTTTATATACAGACAGATAAACATAGATTAGCATTCGTAAACTACACTATACAACTGTTAAATATAGTTTTACAAATGCAAACTACAGTTAACGAATCGTTAACTATAGTTTACAGTTCATAAACTATAGTTTACGATCGATAAACCTACTTTATCAACTGTGAAACTATGATTAGCTCATTTTTGTGAATTTGGCGTGCCATATGTATTTTCTAACACTATCAAAATGAGGGAAATCACAGAACCCCAGTAGATTTATTTAGTTTTTGTGATATTTTCAGAAGGTGCAGTCACACATAAGACAATACTTTACATTCAAAGTAAGACAAACAGCAATTAAATTATATAATTGTTTGTTAGTGAGTCACACAATTTATTAATATGAATAAGATGAATGTGGGTGGTAATGTTCCGACCTGAGTGTTTGACCCGAGTGGTCAGAATGCTTCTAACTGTTTACACCGAAAGAAATGACCAGCTGACAAGTATATCTCTGAAGCCATTTATTATATACATGTGTGGACAGCTACTGTATACTGATGCTTAATGTGTTTCTATATATATAAGTGGGCTGAAACCACTTGAGTCATAACCACATATGTTGAACATGTAATCAACACCAATATGATACAAATAAGATATTTGTAATTTAATGGAAAACTTACAAGGAATCTGGAGAATTCAATTTTTTATCTGTGAAACAATAGTGAGAGGAAAGAGGCATGGGACATCACACATAAGTGATCAGTACTTCAATTGTATCCTTGGTTTTGTTGTATTTCCTGTAGGAAAATGTTCTGAAAAATAGGAATATAAAAGGGGATTTGTGTTTTTTGCACTGTGTACAAAAATTACAATTGGCATATATTAATTGGATAAAAACTGTCTGTCTTCAGTCAGTCAGGTCATCTTAACTAGAAACACAGAGTAAAAAGAAATGGCAACATCACTTGACCATACAAAACATCCAAACATGGCACACTTCACAAGAACTTTCAAAATATTGATTGAAGTTAATTTCTGACAATTTGAAGAATGGTTAAACCTAACTCATTGATATCAAAAATTTAAAAGATAAAAGAAGAAAATATTTAATAAATCGTGGTAAAGTCATGTGAGTTTCAGAAAAAAAAACAACATTTTTTAAGTATAACTTTATGATTGGCTATCACAGAAAGCAGTGGATGACCTGTACAGTTTTCGAGATCATTTTGTGGAGAATCATGGGATTGAGAAGGCAGCTCAAAAGACGGAGGAAGTCAGCAAGCTCATGAATGAAACTCTGAAGACATTAGAAACCCATAAAGGTTGTCAGTTTATTGTAATACTGTACATGTATTCTTAAAATGATTTTAGACTCCGGAGTATTTTTTCCCCACTTCTGAGACTTTTAGAGAGATTGCAGTAATACATACAAATATCTCACTTTTGAGAAAAAAAAAAACAAATTTCAACCCATCTTAGGAAAGATCCCCAGACATTTAGAACTCAACTTTTACAAGCCTTAAAATGTTATTTGTTTTAAAACAATGTCTCTATATTACATGTATTATATTTACTTTTCCTTGTATTGCAGACAACATCAAGGACAAGGCAGTGTTTTATATGTTACAAGGTAAAACCCTTAATGTTCTCCCAACTCATAGTCCACAATCTGAAGAAATTCTGTCTAAAGCTGTCAAGCTTGATCCCAAGCTTGTGGAGGCATGGAACCAGCTTGGAGAAAATTACTGGAAGAAAGGTGATGTCCCCTTGGCTAAAAACTGCTTCACAGGGGCCTTAAATCATGTGAGTACTTTGTTAAAAAATATGCCATAAATAAATACATGTATGTATAATAATTTTCTTGGAAACACAAAAATGTTTTTTTATCATTCATTATAAATATTGACCTCACTCTGTTTTTTTTTCCAGGCAAAGAATAAAATATCATTACGTAATTTGTCAATGGTGCTGCGGCAGATTGGTGGTAATCCATCGGAGCGTGCTAAACTTGTAGAGGAGAGTGTGGAAAAAGCTAAGGAAGCTGTACAGCTCGACATACAGGATGGAACCTCATGGTGTATGTACATAACAATTAACATACATAAGTCATCTATAAGATATTAATTTTTAGCTCACCTCAACGAAGTTGGGGGAGCTTATGTAATACCCTCGGGGTCGGTGTCCCAGGTTAAAGTTTTTGGAGCAGTTTTCTTTTCAAGTACTTCTATGCCCTATGTTAATCAGAGATGCATGTAGGATGCTTCTAGTGTGTTTCATTGTACCAGTCAAGGTTTCAGATGCTGCAATTTCAGCTAAAGAATGACCAGGTTAACGTTTTTGGAGCAGGTTAAAGTTTTTGGAGCAGGTCTCATTTCCAAGTAACTATAGGCCCTATATTGACCAAACTTGCATGGATGATACATCTAAGGATGCACACTACTGAACTTGCTTCGGATGCTGGATCTGACCTACATTTTCCAGATGAGTGACCAGGTTAAAGTTTTTAGAGCAGATCTCATTTCCAAGTAACTATAAGGCCTATCTCAACCAAAC